TGTGTATTAACTAGTTGGAAATACAATAAATTAAAAATTTGTATGTGTACAAAAATTTGTTTCTCTCCGCTATATATATATATATATATATATATATATAAGTGAACATTGAAGTCAACAGTCAAAGGCGATATAAAAAACAAGTAAAATGAATTAACCCAAGCAAATAATAAATAAATTAACAAACCATTTCCGTTAGAATAGACGAGATAGAATAAATAAAAATAAAAAATAAAGACATAAAATACAAGTAAAATAATCATTCCAAACCAAATAAATAAAGCAAACAATAAACAAATTAACAAACCAATAACAGTTAGAATAGACTACAACAACCAATCCAAAAATTGAACGAAAAAATAGCTGTAACTGCTATATAACGATGAAAAAATACTAAGTTACTCAAAAATCGAAAACCGAATAGAGTAAAGAAAAAATTAGCAAATAAATAAGAAAAAATAAGTAAAAATTATTACAAATAAACAAATTAACAAATCACTCCCGCTAAAATAACCGTTAGAACTAATAGAAATAAACATAAATAAGCAAAAACAAGTAAAAATAATCAATCCAAATAAATAAATAAATAAAATAATAAACAAATTAAAAACTGTCCCCCATCAAAATAGCAGAATAGACTACGGCAATCAATCCAAAAATTGGACGAATAAATAGCTTTATCTTCCCAGACAAAAACAAACTATTAAATAAGCGACCTAAACAAATCCCTCTCAAACTTTTTTACTACGTTAATAAAACATCGGAAACCGAAAAGAATAAATAAATATATAAAATAAAAAATGATACAAAAAAAACAATTAAAATAAATTAACCCAAATAAATAAATAAACAAATAAACAAGCCACTTCCGCAAAAATAACCGCCAGAACAGATTACCCACAATGCACCACTGACCCATATATATAAATAGTCGAGAAAAAATCCAACACACGCGGCCTGACGATTGCGTTGAGGCAGTCGACACGCAGTCTCTGACTGTGTGCGACTTCTGTCGAACTCTCTGCTTTGGCAGAGAGGAACCCGGACGAGGCTTTGCCGAAGGGAAAGTTTCGGTAGAGAGATCCCGAACCCGCTTATGCGGGTTCTAAGGGAATATTTTTGGTCGAGCCTACGGGCTCCGAGAAACCCACGTTAAACTCGGCCTTGTGTCACATACATTCCTCGTGGGGGGGGGACAGTTAAATATCGGCTTGACGATTGCGTCTAGCATGAAACAGCCTGTCGCCAGTCAGTGTTAAGTTCAATGTTCACATTTATATTTATATTTACATACGCTCTATCTCTGATATTGGGCACTTTATCCCATAAAAATAGCACACCTTAAAACTATATTCCTTTACATATATATATATATATTCAGTTGCATGGATATGAGTTTGTGACCCTGGGTTTCACGTTTTTGCGATCATCAGATAAACTCCAAGAGCGTGAAACTCAGGGTCACAAACTCATAGCCATATAGCTGAACATGTTAGCTCTATCACTGATATTGATCAATTTCAATAAGTACCGCATATATATATATATATATATATATATATATATATATATATATTCGTGCATATATGCCTGTATCTATATGCGGGCAGTGTAACAGTTATCGCGGAAAGTGAAATCGGCATACCTCGTTCAAATATATATGTCTGCGTATGCGCGTGTGTTGCCGCACGCACAAACACACACACATAAATACATATACACACATACATACATACACATACACACACACTAGGTTTAAAACTGAAACAAATCCTCACCATACGTCTACACTCTGTGGGGATGTGTTTTAACAGGAACCTTATATTCACAAATTGCGCTTTAAAAAATTGTTAAAACGGGTCAACGATTGTCACCAGCCCGGTAGGTTGGATTAAACTTCAGATCTTTTTGTTTTATTTTATTTTAGTAAATTGTGTAGGTTTCGACAAACATATCAAATAGTTTTGTTCGAAATGATCGATATTATACTTACGTTGGTATAGCTGAACAGTTCAGTCTTGGGATCTCTCATGTGAACCTCCTCTGCAGTCTCCTCGAAAGAGCATTTACGCAGATCGGAGATGCGTTGGCACATAACCATTCTGAAAGGGAAAAAAACATTCAAAATAAACGAAGCAAGTTAATAAAGAAACCGTAAAACACAATACATAATTAAACAAAGCTTTATATTAATCATTAGGTTCAGTTACAAATAATGACCATCAGGTTCATACTCCTCCCCGGGTCTTTTGAACAAGAGTAGAGATCTATCCCTTGTTTAAGATTGGATTTCCGGTTCCTTCTAAAGTCGACTTCAGCTCTATACTTCTAATGTCTTTGCCTAAAATTATCAAGATTTATTTACTATTTATTTCTCTCCTCAATAGGAGTAGATAGATTTGCCTATCGTCTGGTTCACATTCCTCCTCGGTCTTTGGAATGGGATTAGAGATTTATCCCTTGTTTCTTGTTTAGGATTGGATTCCCGGTTCCTTCTAAAGTCGACTTCAGCTCTATACTTCTAATGTCTTTGCCTAGAATTATGAACATTTATTTACTATTTATTTTTCTCCTCAATAGGAGTAGATAGATTCGCCTATCGTACGGTTCACATTCCTCCCCCGTTTTTTGAACAGGATTAGACATTTATTCCTTGTTTCTTGTTCAGTAATTTTTTTAATCATTTCACCCCAAGCAAGTCAATAAATCCACTAAGACGGAGTGTAAAGAAATATGGGAAAAAGAGAAAGATTATTAATGTGAGAAAATAATAAAAGGAAAGAAGAGAGAGAATAACGATTGACATTGCATTTAAATTTTTGAAGATCAAAGTTATATGAATAAAAGATCTTGCCATAATATTTCCGGGAAACTTGTACACCAACTCAGTATATCGAGAAGATATTAGTTGTGTCAAGAAACATCGCATCTCAGCAGGATTCCGAAATATACGGCCATATCACATTAAAACACCTGTTCTCGTTCGATAAACGAAGTTAAGCAACGTCAAGTCTGGTCAGTTTTTAGGAGTGCCATGTGCTGTAAGCTTAGATGTATGGGTGGCGTAATGGATGACGGCTTGGAATTGGAAAATCGGAGAGCCGTGTTCCAATTCCAGTCAGGTTCGTTATATTCACTTACGCACGAATACCATTGAGAAAGGTAAAATGCACCTCTTCTCCTCCTCGCTATGGGTCAATTAGTAACACTTTTATCAGTAAAATCATTATCATCTTCAAAAAAAACTCTTACACTCCAAAAATATTTTCTGGCTTTAAATAACCTTCAAAAGGTTGATAAACCGTAAAAAACAAATCAATCTTGATTCTGACGGAATTCAAATATCCTACCTAATACTCTATGAATATTTCTAATATGGTGCGTCAAGAATTGGATCTAAGCATATATATGTACGTGTTCTTTGCCACCGATTGAAAATGCGACTACATCCGTGACTCTAAAAACTAATTTTCGTGCCGTTCAGTCATAAAACTACCTGAAAATACATCATTTGTACGCCAGTAAATCCAATGTTTGGACACTTGTCTAGCACTTGTAAGAATCTGTCTGCGTACGTATGCGTGTGACAGGGAGGTAATTATGTGTTTGCCTGTATAAATATTTGAAAATGTAAATGCGTGTACGCATGTTGAATAAGACGTATTTTTAAATGTCCACTAAAAAAAAAATCCAATTTCTAAATGGTTGGGTTCAACAGCCATTTCTCCTGCACGTCTGATAAATCAAAGTGAGAAAACTATTAGCTCGTTATAGGCGGGAAAAATTCGGTTCCGAAGAGACGCAGTATAATTAGCCAATCAAAAACTTTGCGATAATTTTGAACAATATTGTAATCAATATGGACTCTGCCAATATAATCCGTTCATACAATTTTTTTTCATACTTTTCGTTATTTTTAAATTTTTTTTTTTTTAGATTTAAATCTAATTTCATATTTTTATTTATTGTCTTGATTTTCCTCTATTTTCTTTTGATTATAAAATTACATCTGCGTTTTGTTTTGGGATATTTTTTGTGCTGTATTTTCTGTCTTCAGTTTTTTAAATGAATAGAAAATTGTTTTGGACAGTATTAAGCAGGCCTACATTCTTCTTCTTCTTCTTCTTCTTCTTCTTCTTCTTCTTCTTCTTCTTCTTCTTCTATTATTATTATTATTATTATTATTATTGCTATCGCCCGGTTCAAACAATTCCCCCAGTCTTTTAAGCAATAGTAGAGGCTTATCTCTTGTTTCCTGTTTAGGATTGATTTTCCAATTCCTTCTAAAGTCTATTTCATTCTCTTTCACTCCCGGTAGCTTCCTCTTGCATCTTAGTGACATTATCGCCTTGCTTGGAGTGAACAGGATAAAAAATATATTATTATTATTATTGATACCTCTTGAGGTTGTTGTTGCTGTATTTTACTTTTTAGGAATAGGAAAAGTATAATATGCCTTCCGGGAAATAAAGTAAGTATTAAGAAATAGAAAGATTTCATTAAAAACAAAGAAAAAAATGTACTAAACTGCAACGTAATATCTAATTTGCAATATGTCGGTGGATGATGGAGAATCTCCTCACAAATTAAAAACAGACTTGAAGAGGCAGAGATGTGGTCATGTGTGTGTGTGTGTGTGCGCGCGCGCGTGTGTGTGTGTGTGTGTATGTGTGTGTGTTGAAGATATGGATTAAATCCGACAAAATGATGAAACAAGAAAAAAGTAGAAAAAAACTTTATAAATTTAACATTTCGCTATTTATTTGAGAGTGGAAAAATGCGCAGTTGTTTCGATTTTTAAATTCTGCATTGTTTTGTTTTCATTGGTTGAATGGATATCACGTGTTCATCTTATGGTATTAGTATGCATAAATGTATGTTCGATTTTGTTGTGTGTGTCTATCTGTGTGTCGCGTGTTTACCTCATGGCGTCAGGAATTTGAGGAAAGCCATGATCGCCTACGTCCCGAGGGAACACGAGAGGAAGAAGTTATTTAAGCTTACGGTCATATCACCTTCAAACACCTGTTCTCGTACAATTACCGAAGTTAAGCAACGTCGATTCTGGGCGGTATCTAGATGAGTGACCGCTTGGGAATATCGGGTGCTGCAAGCTTGAATGTGCGGTTGATGTCATGTATAACGGCTCAGAATTGGAAATCGGAGAGCCGAGTTCCAATTCCAGTTGGGTTCATTGTATTTATTTACGCGCAAATACTATTTGGAATGGTATGAATACACATATTCTACCCCAGCTATAGGTTAAGTAGTAAAACTTTCATCACTAAATCTTATTATCTCAAAAAACATTTCTTATGATGTAAAAATATTTTCTGGTTTTATATAACCTGCAAAGGTTCGATAAGCCGTAAATAATAGCTGATATTTAAAACAGTGAACAGCAATTACGATAACAGTGGAAATTAAACATTTTCTACGCTTTGCTTAGTTATTCTGGTGCCGAAACGCCGGAAGTGACAAAATATCGGATAGTTGAAGAGTAGTAGTTTTCGAAACAACGTAGACTCTGGTTTTCCTACAACCAACAACAGATAAGTTGAAATAGTAGTTTTCGAATATAGAGATTTCGGTAAGTCTCAACAACCAGCAGATAAATTGAAATAGCATTTTTTTTTTTGAATTGTCGGAGTTAACTCCTCCTTCAGTTCGTAACCCTTTCACCAGGGGTCGCTCTTCGCTGCTATTAATAGCCGCTGACCCTTCGCCTCTCTCTCTTTTTCCCTCAGGCCTTCGAGTCGACACCTGGAGGTAAATCTCTCTTTTTCCTCAGGCTTTCAGCTTACAACCTCGAAATGTAGGCGCTAACAAGGGATAGCGTTTCCCAAAAATGCTGGGAACACGCTAAGCACAATACACACACACACAAACGCACATATATAATATTCACACATACTTTGTCCTTTGTAACTGTTTTCGTGTAACTTGTTATTAATATATATTTGTATACATATATTATCGGTCTTGTGTTTTGTTTGTTTTCTTTGCATTCTTTGGACTTAATTAAAAGTCCAACTTTATTGTGTAGTTGGACCAGCTAGCAGGAAAATCTGAACCCACATGTGTTTTTCTACGTCTACTCAACGACATAACAGCCACGGCCCACTACAGAATAAAGACAAGCAAATTTACACTGAATTCTCCCATCAAAAACTTTATAAATTTAACATTTCGCTATTTATTTAACTTGGGAGTGGAAAAATGCGCAGTTGTTTCGATTTTTAAATTCTATATTGTTTTGTCTTCATTGGTTGAATGGATATCACGTGTTCATCTTATGGTACTTGTATGCATGAATGTATGTTCAAGACGTAGAAATATTTCGAGGCGTCATTATAATTTAGATTATAGGGGCGCCTCGAGGTGGTGTAATGGTTAGCAAGCTTGTCTCGCTAGAACAATTACAGCTGAGTAGTGAGTTCGATTCTCACTGGGTACCCCTAATTTTGGCCTTGTGCCACATCTAAGCTACGCTTGGAAAATCGCTATAGAGAGATTTCGGTAAGTCTCAACAACCAGCAGATAAATTGAAATAGCTTCTTTTTTCTTTTTTTTTTTTTTTTTTTGAATAAAGACAAGCAGATTTAGGTTGCATTCTCCCATCAGCAATATTGAATAGCAGTTTTCGACTTTTGACTAAAAGCAAAGTGAATTATATCTCCGACTGGCAGATAAGCTAAAAGAAAAAAAAATAGTTTTCGACTAAAGACAAAACGACTTACACCACTTTCTCCTATCAGCAGCTAAATTTTAAATAAACGTTTGCGTTTCGTAAACAAAGCAAAAATATTTTTGATTCGACTTTTTTTTTTTTTTAAATATCCTCTTTTTCCTTGAGTGATGAAACATTCGTTTGTATGTAAAGTGACTAAAGTATCTGAATTTTATGAAGTATTAAGTTTTCTTTTTCTATTCATTTTTCTTTTACTTCTTTCTTTTTTCCTCTCCAATAAAGTTTCCTTCTTTTTTTCCTTTTAGTCCACACGATCTGATGGGTATTGAAAACAATACTATAGTATTTGTTAGCAAATACAATTCCTTTCGTCACAGTCTATTAGCCTTAATCTCGTCGTATACGAACGACCAGTATGTGTGGACTGTAAAGACAAAAGTACGCAGGTGTAGGCTTTAAGAAAGCTTTATTCAACTGAAAATACAAGGTTTGCACATAGTGTCCTTTTATAGTCCCAGTAAACAGAAAAATCTCTCTCTCAAAGAGGAGAGTAACAAAACAAGAGGAGACCACTCTTGATTATTCATAACATTAAAAACGAATGTTCCAAATTAATTAATATCAATACAAATGACATCTAATATAAGTTAACATGCAATAATGTTAAGAAACAGGCTAAACGATAAAATGTGATAATAGGGTTGAGTTTAAGTATCCCCACCAAAAGAAAAGAAAAAAAAAGAACAAATAAAATAAAAACGGCAAATAATTAAATCATACAATACTTAAGGAGAAGGATAAGATTTAGAAACATTAAGATTACCTCCTCGGTTATCCATCGTAACCGCAATCCACCGAAATAAGAAAAGAAGCCAGTCACCACCGCGGGCCATTTAAAAGATATTTCGCGCACCGGATTGGTTGTTACAAACATCCAATCGGGTGTGCGGAATATGTGGTCTTTCTTTTTATTATTCTTTAAAAAGGCCAGAGTGGCTGTTAGCGTTTAATCAGATGGGGGAATCAGGGGTTGATCTCCCCTGATTGGGTCGATTTGGTGATGGGGAGTATGATGTTGAAAGACCCGAAACTCCCTGATGAACCAAGTCAAAAACATCACTGACGACCCCCTTGGGCGCCTACTTAAAAGCGTATTTGCGAAAAGGGATATCAATACAAATGGTATCAATACAAATGAATCCTCTAAAGCAGTGGTTTTCAACCAGGGTTCCTCGGAACCCTAGCATTCCGCCAGTAAAACCCAGGGGTTCCGCAAAAAGTTACACAAGTACTATGATTGACAGCACAATTGCTGTCTGTGGAAGATGAACTTCGCGTGTGTCTGTCAAGAACACGACCCAATATTAAAGATTTGTGCAAGAAACATCAGGCTCAAGTTTCTCATTGAATTTTTAATGAAAATAAATGCAATCCATTTAAACTGAAGTTTTTTTAATACATGTGTAATAACCGTAGAAGCAAGATTAAAATTCCATATGTACGTATACAATATTTTTACAGTTTGTCTTTGTATTTTTTTTTTAAATAAATCTGATGATGAGTATTTTTATTTTATTTTAATAATTGAAAGCTTTTTTTTTTTTGCATAAGACAATTAATTTATTGCAGGGGTTCCTCGGGCAACTGGAATGGTTCCATGTGGTTCCGCTCCAGTAAAAACGTTGAAAACAACTGCTCTAAATTAATTTCATTAATTGGCATCCTATTCCTAAAATCATAATGGCGGCTCGGAATATTTCTACGTCTCTTTCGTGTCCAGCAATGTTGATTATTTCAATCTATTTTCTTTCAGAATTTTTTTCAAACATCGCTGTTTTCTAATCTTGATAGCGATTTCCGTCAACAAAATCCACCCCCGACTCCGTATCCCAATAACTTACCTATGTTTTCTCGTATCATAGACGATGTGCTGTTCGGAATGGGGACACTGGAATCCTCCGGGGCACACGCAGTTGTTAACGCGTCTCTCAGTAGGCTGCCTCATCCCATTCACCGTCTTGTTAAAGGTGAAAATATCAGCACACACTGTCTTATGACTCATGCATTCACTGTTGCTTCGCTGGAAACAGAGGAAAATAAGAACATGGCTATAAAATGTATTTAAACAAAACAAAATAGATAATTTGTGTTGATGAAACGGACGAGCAAATGCAAAAATATATACGAGCAGTTGCTGAAAAGTTATCAGCTAGACCAAGAAAAGGAAAGACTACGTGACATGCATGCTGTTCAATATATTTACCCCGTATTTATATACATTGGTAATAATGGTAATATAAACTGTTTTCTTATAAGGAAACATTCGGTATTCATTGGCCGAGCAGCCAGTGTTACGCGAGTTGCATTTTTCTTCACTCCATGGTCATCGGGCTTGGATCAAAGTGTAGTATCTGTTCATCATCTCTAATAATAATAATAATAATGGTAATACTAGCCGTTTACTTACAAGGAAACATTCGGCATTCATTGACCGAGCAACCAGTGCTAATTTTGATTAAAATTTATAAAATGTTTCTGTTAAAACAATTTTTCAGGAAAAGAGATTTCTCAAGTTCACTATTATATCGTTTTCAAGTATTGAAAGGGGTTTCCTCCTAGACCTTTTTCTAGAAGTAATATGAAACAACAGCATCTTGATTGCGTTATTATTTTCTCTTCTATCCATTTAAGTTGTTGCTACTGTTGGAAGTTCTCATGTGATGAGGTTTCTGTTATTTGGTACAGCTCTTTGCTTGCGATTCTGTAGCAGCAGCCCATGCGGCTCGATGGTCTTAGCTAAGGCCAACAGACTCATAAATACGGACTACACAAATATTAACTCAAAAGTGACGAATACATAGGGTCAATATTAGACGGCAGGTAACTGCTTAACGAGCATATTTACTAGTGAGTTCGATCCCTACCAATTGCACCACTGAAGTTGTACACACTTGTCACACCAAAAATATTGACTACGTTAAAATTACTTCATTGCGATTAACACATGGCATCAATATTACTCCACACTTTTATCTAAATTTAGATAAGTAATCAGCACTATTTTCTTTCTTTATAACGAAATTCAATCAGTTATGTGCCATGCGTGATACATGACTGACGAGGCAGATTTTTTCCCGCGGTAGGTTGCTATTTCTTTCTGCGGCAGACCAGTTGCCATCCAAGGCTGTCCTGCTATTTACCCATAGCTGGGAGGAGAAGAGGATTCATACCTTTCCCAATCCGAAACGCTATCCACTACTCCACCGTACCTCCTACGAAACGAATATATATATATATATATATATATATATATATATATATGTGTGTGTGTGTGTGTGTGTGTGTGTGTGTGTGTGTGTGTATGTGTATATATATATATATATATATATATAATTATAATTATAGTTATAATTTTAAAAAATA